ATTGTTCCAAAAGGTCAAGTGGGAGTAGTGTAAATCTTGAAAGAGTTCGAGAAAATCAACAAACAAACTTGGTTCACCCTATGCTAAAAGTGCCTCCTCAAAAAGGAAAGTGGGAGTATAAAAATCTCAAAAAGTTCGAGAGCTTTGAAAGAGTTCAAGAAAAATGATTTCGAAAATCTTGAAGAAATTTGAGAAGTAATCGAATCAAAGCAACAATATGAGCATGATTCACCTCATGTTACAAATGATAACGCGTGGTCTCATTAAGTGTAATGGGAGTAATAACCATGTGTCTAAGGTAGTACATTCCAAGTGCACATCCTCAAATTGTCGTTTCTCATTGAAAACTAAATAAAGTTGTTGTATGAGTCTCAATTGTTGCATAAAAACCCACAATGATGACTAGCATATGTAAAATTTAGCCAAAGAAATATGATTTCATATTGACTAAGAGTTCTAAAATATTCATTTTGGAACATGATGATTATGCAAGTAATAAAGATGATTTGACAAGTTATGACTCCAAGTGGTTTAAAAACCAGGAAATCTAAAATAGATTCTAAGTCTGTAAGCAAGTTTATGACGCTTAAATAATTTGCTTAATTGGGTGAGACCCATTATAAGAAAAACAGACAAGATAGAAAAATGTTTTCTAACTAAAGCAAAGACTTGTTAGAGGATTCAACTAATTCATAGTATGACTATGACTACGATGAAACCTTTACATTAGTCATTTTGCAAAGATCTTTTAAAGATATTTTAGTGATTTCTACCTTATAAGATTTGGTAGATGGATTTCAAAATACTTTCTTGAAATTGTTCACGAAAGAATATTTGTATATGATACAATCAAAAGTTTGAAGATCCAATAATCCTAGGGATGCATAGCATCATGGAGTTAATGTTCTTAATTTTGTGATGTTCTTAATTTTGTGAGTTAAGCAAATCGTTTGATGTTCTCGTAAAATGAAGAAAAGGTCTTGTGTGTACAAGATGTTTAGTGGGAGATATGAAGTCTTATTGGTCTAGTATAAAGAGCAAATTATTCATTGCTTGAAGAGTCAAGTGGTGAGTAGTGCATTTTGTATGAAAAACCTTGAAGAGAATGATGAGTACATTTGGGATTCAAAATCTATAGAGATAGGTTTTGATGGATGTTTGAGTTTGGTTAAGAAGATATATTGATAAGATTCTTATAAGGTTCAACATTATATTGAAAGGAGTTTCAATCCTATGTAATATGACACGTTGCTTAATGATTCAATGCTTTGAGAAAGATTGATGAAATTAAGGTGTTGAGTGATGATCCTCATGCAATATGCAAAGGATGCATCATGCATGTCATGGACTATACTCATCTATTTGATTCATGCGTTTTAAGAACAAGTGATGATAGATTTCAATCGAAATCCAATGTGATGTTGGAATACAAATTAGAAATTCCAGAGTTCCTTGCGAAAGGGCGAAGAAAAATTCTTAGTGTATGGAGATGAAAATGATTATAAGATTTAGAAATTGCAAAATTCATGTTCATGAGAATGTCTCACGAACTCTAATTAGTAAACCCCTTCCACTTCCAAAGCATGAGAAACATGCTAATGAAACTGGATTGAGGCAAATGATGTAATTAGAAGTTGTATTTATTTTTGGAGAAAAACAAGTTACATGTGTAATACATTCATTTGCAGAATTATGTTTATCAATTGAAACAAAGTTTCAATCTTATTTAATCGTGGTTTCAAGATTAAATAAAATGTCCAAAATAATTATGAATTGATGGGCTCATCAGTTTGATGACCTGGTGAATGAAACCCCACAGATGAACTAAATTCATACATCATTTAAGTTCCTAGTTCGGAATCATTAAAATGGACATAAATGATTTCTAATAATGGACTAGCATGTAAGATTGATTGGATAGCGCAGTTTCATGGGCTATAGGAGCGTGGTGAAGCTCGGTCAATCACATGGATATGCATGAATGATGCATGATCGAACTATAGACCTACTTTGAAGTTCAAGTATAAAGCTTCCGGATATATTAGTGGATTCCTTTGACATGAGTGGAACATTGATTTCATTCAATGGATGTTATGGCTGTGGTACACTCAGACGTCTGCCCGTAACTGGAGATTATAAAGGGTGTTTCCCGGTTATTTCAGAAGTTGAGTGGGAGCTTTGGTTGCCACAAGATTGGATTGAGTCTACCTATTAAATAGGAATGTGTCTTGGCCCCTTGAAGAGGGAGAATTCAGAAAAATGCATGGCCGTGCTCAAATGCATTACATAGTAATCATTTGTTCAGTGAATCTCACTCAGTTTTTCAAGAAAATATTTGTAGACTAATATGATCACGACATGAGATGCAATCATATTATTAAATCGACACAAATTGACTTAAGGAATTTGAATATTGCGCACTTGTCTCAGACAAGTGGGAGATTGAAGGAGTTGTGTCTTCAATAAGTGCAATTACTGGATATATCAAGGATCACTATTATGGAGATAATGAGTCCGTTCTCTTGGGGAGTCATCATCTGTTTCTAGACTATGAGAGATGATCTTTGGACTAGTTAAATAGTCCAAAGCCCGCTAGAATGGATCCTATGAGGTCACACACAAGGGTATTGGGTTAAGCAAGTTAGAGGCCCATTAATGGGCCTCATGAGCAATTAACTAATCATGAAATGGATTAGGCTAGCATAGTTAGATTGGAATTAATTTTTGGGCTTTTTACATGGGCTCTTATTTAGAGATGAGATCTATAAATAAGATCCATGCCTAGGGTTGCAAGATAGCAGTCATAATTCACACACAGTGTATTTTGACATCAAGGAAACCAATCCCAAAGACCCTAATTCCTCTCTCTATCTCACGACTATCTCTCTCCTCCCCTTGTCCTTACGGCCGACCACCCTTGGTGGTGCGTGTGGTGGTTCGTGGTGGTTCATGGTGGTTCGTTGCTCACTCTTCTCCGTAGAAGGTCAATTGAAGGGTTCAATTGCAACTAACTAGAATTTGTGGAGGTCTTAATCTGTGCTCGTGGACCAAGTAGAGGAATCACGCTTGGGGTTCTTTATTTCCCATTGTTCTTGCTCGATCGCATGTGGAATCACGCTTCAAAGGTGCGATTATATGTTCTTTATGTGTTATGCATTAGATCTTGGGATTAGATACTGTATAAATATGATTCATGTTTATTTCCGCTGCATAGTACCTATAATCTCCTACAACTATTTATAGAGAAAATCATCCAGATGGATAGAAAAACGAATCAGGGTTTCGACGAGAATAAAACAGCTTAGGGCCAGACGCCAAGCATTAGTGACAGACGCTAATCCTGTCGTCAGACGCTAGAAAACAATTTCACACGTTTTCTCAATTTTGATAAAATTTAGCCGTACAGAAGGGCAAAATCATATTTTCCTTAAAAACACTTCTATTAAACTCATTAAAACTCTAAAATGTCAACTAATGTCAATTTATCAATGCTAATTAAATTAAGAATGAAAAGAACCTTCTAGAAGAATCTAGAAAACTATAATCAATTCTAATTGCATTAGGAATGATAAATCAATATTAGGCCCTCCTCTAGATCATTGAGCTGCATATAAAGATCAAACCGGACCCAGTTTAGTAATTTGGCCATAACTTCCTCATTAGTAATCAGAATTGGGCTTATAATATATCGTTGGAAAGCTCTTTTTGAACCCGACCCAACTACACTATTATTGGACCCTTGCCATGGACCAAACCAAACTGGATTGGCTGTTTTTTAAAAATAGGTTTTCAAAAACAGAGAGAAAGAAAAGAATTAAAAACTAACCGCAACACTAGACTTTCCACACTTTCACTTCATTCGATTATGATTCGACGTGAAAGGTACTCATCACTGAATTTTGTTTTGGGGAGACACAAATGGGTGTCTACATCCATAGATATGACTCTTATTAGTACAATCATGAGCACAACTAGTTGATGTAAAAATTGTGAAGATGATCTATAGTTACGAAGCACTAGTAGTTGGAGCAAAACTATACAACTAGATGAGCTTGATCCTACTGACTTGCTTCTGAATGACAGCAAGGAAATCTCCTTCTACAATAATACTTCTCCCTCCCAAGTCATACGAAAATTTCATACCCCATATGATAGCCATAGCTTCAGGTACATTTGTCTCCAATCGTTCGATGCCCTACACCACAACACAACACTGAATCGAGCCATTACAGTCACGCAACACTGCCCCTAGACCAACCCCTAACTCCTCTACAACTTTGGCATCAACATTCAGCTTTCACAACCCCTCATTAGGTGGTGACCAAGCTATAGGAAGGGGCATACCAACACCCGCTTTTTTATGTACTCTTATAGTATTTCTATCTACTTATTACAGGGGGGAAAACCTCAACCATAAACTCATTGATTATATAATTTTTGAGTAATTTAATCTACTATTAAAATATTTAGTTTACTTTTTATGGAATTATATTCAAATCCACTTATAATTTTGCAGATTCTAGAATGAAAATTCAACCTACACAAAAATCCACACTCTCCTCTCATCAATATTGCTGCCAGCTTAACCACACCATTGCTTTATCAATGAAATAAACCCAACTCTTTTTTTTATCAATGAAGTGCAGTTTTAATAATCTGTGACCCCAACTTTTTTAACAGACCCCATAACTCCAACATCCCAATTCTGGCCATTGCTTATTAAACACAACAGAGCTCCTATCAGACCACTCACCCAACACCAAAGACACAAACAAACATAAAAAAGTCCTCATTGTATGCATAAGTTTACTTTAAGAGATGATTAGTATACTTTAAGAGAGATTTAGTTTACTTTTATGAGATTTATACTTGATTAAATAAGTTATCTAAATGAAATCCACCTTTGATGGAACATCAAATGTGTTTAAGATTTTTAATCACCATTAACATACAACATATATTATATATGATCTCTCACAGGAATTTCATCGAACAGTTGATATGCAAAGTTACAAATTAAGAACCTTCATTTAGACTAATTAAATTATTCAACAATAAAATCACTGGAACAAAAAAACGGAAAAATTATATTCCGTAGTAAATTTCAGAAATATTACTCAAATTTGTGTAAAATTTCAACATTAATTAACTTCAATTATGCACAACCTCAATCTCTCGTAACTTCATTTTTAACAACTTCAAATTTCAGCAGATTTCAACCTGAAAACACTAAAATAAGTTAGTAATTGCATAAATAAGAGTTCAAACTTTATAATCTTTAAAGATTATCACAGCATTATAAATCTAATTCAAATTTAAATTTTAAAATAGTACAAAATTTAATAAATCAAAGAATAAAGAATTAAACTTTTTATGAAACAGTTAAAAGTAATTTATAATCAATCATAACCTTAAATTGTAAATTAAAATTCAATTTTCTCTATGAAATTGATGAAGCTCGTTGATTTAAAAAATAGAAGAAAAAAAAAATTTACCTTAAATGCCGCTGAAAATTCAGAGTCGTAGAAAAAATTCCTAAATTCACCAAATTAAATAAGAAAAATTGAATTTCCAACAAGACCTCGACGAATTTGAAGCAATTTTAGCAAGATCTGGATGAATTTGAAGCAATTATACCCAATTTGATAGAGAAAGCTCATAGCAATGGAGGAGAGAGAAAATGGTTGAGGAGAGAGAAAGTGCGTGGAAATGAATGGAATGTGTGTGATTTAATCTGAGCCGTCAATCACGCGCCTTTTTGTATTAGATCTGACAGTCCAGATTAGTTCCTAGTTCCTATTATAGGATTGGTTCTCATTATTATAGCCTGATCCTATATATATATATATATATATATATATATATATAGGGGCGGGATCCGATGTGAATATGTCTTTATATGTGAAATCTATCATATATGAGAATACATTACTACCATTAAATTGAACTAGAGCTAACAACTGAGATCACTCCAAGAGTAAATTTATGCTCAAATAAAACCCTTTCAAAATCTCTAAAAACCACGCATTCAAATCATCCTCCAAACCTATGCTCAAATTACCAGCTTCTCTCTCCATAAGCTTGACTTTCTCTCTCCTCTTGTTCTTAGGTAAGTAATCAGTTCTTATGATTCAATTCTTTCTGTTCATTATACTTATGATTTTTGCTGCGATTTGTTTGAGCATTTTTATGCGATTTTTCTCAATTCTATATGTGATTTTTTGCTTCGATTTTTCTTAGTTTTTTCTGTAATTTTTGTGATTTTTATGCTCAAGTTTGTTCCTTTACGTTTGATTTATGTTCGATTTTTGTGATTTAAATGCGTTTTAATTTTCAAATTTTTGATTTAAATTTGATTCTTATAATAAAAAATATGTTTACAATTTTATTTTAAACTTATATATTTTGGTTAAATTTATTGATCTTGATTGCTTGGATTGAATTTGTGTACATTTTCAATGTTTCATTTAAAATTTGTTTTCTGAATTTTGCAGGTTCATAATATTAGGTTACGTTGAAAAGTATGGATGAATAAGCAAATACTGAAGCAGGTTTAATTTTTATTAACTTGGATGTTTTTTTTTACAACATGTTCCAAAACGTAGAACATGGTTGAAAAATTTAGAACATGTATGTACAAATTTAGAGCATGGTTGGAAAGTAAGGGAAAGTAATAACTAAGGATGTAGATGAGTAAAATTTGATAAGTAATTTAGAACAAATGAGTAAAATTTTGGAACATAATCTGATTTTTCTAAGGGGTCGAGGTGTGTAAATAACAATGTAGAATGTATGATTCATAAATTAGAACATATAAGTAAAAATTTAGAACAAACATCTTAATTAAGTAAACTTCAGTCTTGAATTTATGCTCTACATATAATTAATCTCTTTGTTTTAAATCAGATTTGCATGTATACTTTGAATTAATTATTATCAGTAGAGTTAGTTTGTATGTTATATCAATTAAATAGCTCATCCGACTGAAAGAAAGAGAAAAAAACCCCTAGCCTCTCTTCTCTCTCTAAAACCCTAGCCTCCATTGTTGAATTTTTGAGGGGTTTCCATCGATTTTATCGGTGGAAAGCCCCAATTGTTTATTTTTGTGTGCTTTGTCTATTGTTTTAGATTTATAATAATTCTTTCTCTTCTAGCAGGAATATTTATCTCTCGAAAGACAGGGTTATTTCAAAAAAAAATAAATTATTATCAATAGTGTTCTAATTTCATAGTCACACGTTCTAATTCTTAAATTATTTCTTCTACATTTTGACTTACATGATTTAAGATTTTTATTCAATTGTTCTAAAAATTGCTTCTAATGTTCTAAATTTTTAATCTAATATTCCAAATTATGTTTTATATGTTCATAATCTTTAACAACTAAGGCCCTCTTCTTTTGAGCAGAGCAGAGCAGAGCAGAGGCAAGCCGAAACTGCTACTGCTACTACTACTGCTACTGCTACTGCTACTGCTGCTACTACTGCTACTACTGCTACTGCTACTGCTACTGCTGCTACTGCTACTGCTACTGCTGCTACTGCTACTACTACTGCTACTGCTACTACTGCTACTGCTCCTACTGCTACTGCTCCTACTACTACTGCTGCTCCTACTACTACTGCTCTTGCTACTACTGCTCCTGCTAATACTGCTCCTGCTCCTGCTCCTGCTGCTCCTGCTCCTGCTACTGCTACTACTACTACTGCTACTGCTACTACTACTACTACTACTACTACTACTACTACTACTGCTCCTACTACTACTACTACTGCTCCTACTACTACTGCTCCTGCTACTACTGCTCCTGCTACTACTACTGCTCCTGCTCCTGCTACTGATGTTACTGCTCCTGTTACTGCTACTACTGCTACTACTGCTACTACTGCTACTGCTACTACTGCTACTGTTGCTGCTGCTACTGCTGCTGCTGCTACTGCTGCTCCTGCTCCTGCTGCTCCTGCTGCTGCTGCTCCTCCTGCTGCTGCTGCTGCTACTGCTACTACTGCTGCTCCTTCTACTGCTGCTCCTACTACTCCTACTACTGCTCCTACTACTACTACTACTACTACTACTACTACTACTACTACTACTACTACTACTACTACTACTACTACTACTACTACTACTACTACTACTACTACTAGTACTACTACTACTATTACTACTACTACTACTACTACTACTACTTCCACCAAAATTTTAAAATAAAATGATTTAATGAGTAATAATAATTTTACTTATAAATTTGTCTATAATATATTTTTAACCATAAAAATAATAATGATATACAAAGTACTACTTGAAAAAACCTCTTTTTTTTTGTAATTCTTAAATTGTATGGAAAGATTTGAAAAACAATTCAACTCAATGAACTAACAATCAATACCTACATACATATAATATTTCCACACATTGTGAATCTAATATCAAATGTTTATAAAAGAAATTGTTATTATTATTATTATTTATTTTTTTGAAAGAATTTTATAATTATTAGAAATTATTAATTAATAATATTATTAAATATTAATTCTTAATAGTTTGAATTATTAAATATTAATAATGATAACTATTATTATAATTAATAAATATTAAATATTATTAATATTTATAATTATTAAAATTATTTTTAATATTAATATTTATTATAATTATTCAAAATAATAAATTATTATCATTAATACAATATTAATTATTATTATTGAATATTAATTATTATTGTTATTATTAATTATTATTTGAAAATAAAGCAGAGCAGATTTCTTTTCAGCAGAGCAGATTTGATTTGAGCAGAGCAGAGAAAAGCAGGGCTCAGCAAAGTAGAGCAGAGTAAAACAGCTCTAAAGAACGGGGCCTAACTCTTCATTCAAATGTTCTAAATAGCGATTCTTATGTTCTGATTACAATTAAGTAAACTTCAATCTTGAAATTAAGCTTAGTCTTCTATTTAAATCGATCATGTGTTCTAAATATTTAATCATAAGTTCTAAAATTTTAATCATATGTTCTAAATTTTTATTCACATGTTCTAAAATTTTCTTTTTATGTTATAAAGTTTTAGTCTAATGTTCCAAATTATGTTTTATAAGCTCATAACCTTTATGCTCTAAATAATTAAGTAAACTTCAACCTTAAATCTATGCTCTAAATAATGTCTTTTGTTCTGATCTAATCATGTGTTCTAAATATTAAATCATATTTTCTAAATATTTAATAAAATGTATGTTATAGATTTTTACTCATACTAGGGTGGCCTCCATGCGCGGAGGAGCTAGCTCTTGCAGAGAAGTTGTATTGGCGTGTATTTACACCTTTGGTTTAGGTGGTAGACCTAATAGTTTTAGTATGTACTATTTGGTTTATGTGCCTATGTGGTGGGTTTGAAGAAGTATAAGAAAGCCACCAAAATCTTTTATGACAATTATTTTTTTTAAACCCTCAAAAGTTTAACAGTGTTATTTAAAAATTATTATTAAATAATATTTGATTGATTTGCATCCCTTCGTATCTTAAGCAATTGTTAGTATAGAATTCTTAATTAATTTGCATGTTTCAATAATACTTGGCGTGTGTTTCTTCAAATGAATTTTTTTTGTGAGCTTTGGTCATACGAAGTAATAATATGTGAAATGTTCATTGTGGCTAAAAACCTAATTAATGTAAGTTATTTAATGTTCTACGACCATCTAATATCTATATCTTTATCTATATCGAATAATATTAAAGCAACAACAAATAGTTATATTTTTCTTCTTAAATTCTCTCCATAATTAATATCGATATTTTTTTCTATTCGATTTCTCTTGATTTTAGGATTTTTAAGTTCTTTATACCTCTTTATAACATCTGCTCAAATATCACTATTTAATATGAATTCCATTCAAATTCATAATGTTATTTATATGCCATCAAACAATGTAAATTTCAAAAGTTAATAAAGCTTAATAATAATTGCAATTAAAGGATGACAAGATTGTAAATAAGAAGAGCAACCACGAAGGAGTAAAAATAAACAGTCTCTTCGTACATACAATTTTTTTTTCCTTTTTAAACAATAAAAATAACATATGAAGTATTAGAATTTTTTTATTAAAAAAAAAAACCATTACAAGTTTTTTGTTTAAAAAATACTTTGACTTAATTGATGATATGTATAATGATTAAAAAAAATGAATATATTAATGAGAGTAAACATACTAATGAGGGTAAAAAAGTAATACACATTTTTGTATATATTTTTGAGGGTATAATTGGTAGCACACTATTCCTAAGAGTTATCTTCTACTTTTTATAAGGTAGGGATATTCTAAATAGGTAGTGCTATATTTTGTATGTAATGAAATTTGATCTTCATGTTCTAAATAGGTACAACATGGTATTTACTCCATTTGCAGGAGGTGATCATCACAAGAGTTTTATCACTTTTGCAGTTGGTTTCATAGCAAAGGAAGATATTGAATCATTTGAGTGGCTGTTTAAAACATATTTTAAGGAAATGGGCAATAATGAGCCAATTATCTTATCACATATCAAGATCCAGCTATGAAAATTGCTGTTAGTAGTGTGTTCCAAAAATCTAAACATCGGTTCTGTATGTGGCATATATTGAAAAAGTTACCAGATAAAGTAGGGCGAGCGATAGTAAATGAGGAAATTACGAAATTCCTGAAAAAAAATTGTCTGTGTTTGGCATCTTGAAATTGAGCCTGTTGAGTTTGAAGAAAGGTGGAATAAGGTGATAGTTGAGTTTTA